TTTAGCAAATGGCTGCAATATAACAAAGAGTGAAAAATTTAAGGGGGTCTGAATACTTTCCGTACCCACTGTATATATATATATATATGTCTATGCTCACCAAAGCAGACTGTTTCTCTGGATTCTGGCCTGTTTGTCTTTGGGTCTTTGCCATCTGATTTACAGTTAGGATGGAGAGATGACAGGTCATGATGTGGAGGAGATGTGATGGCTCCGTTTGTGAATCTCTAAACAGCTGAGTCATTTCTAAATGTATGTCGTGAAGTGTGCTGGTTCTTTATAGACATTCATCACTCTGACCTGACCTCATTCACTGTGAACATTCACAGATTTACCAGCTCTCTTTATTGCTTTTGCTCCACTACCCATGGTTTTTATGAATAATAAGGAGAAAAAGGAAGTAATGTCACTATATGCATATTATGTATGTATGTATGTATGTATGTATATGTATATATATATATATATATATGTACAGTATATGCATATAGTGACATTACTTCCTTTTTCTCCTTACATAAGCATCATTATTGGCTGTGTTGTCTACTGCGATTCATATATAATATACTGCATATAATGTTACTGTATGTTACTATATAGACTAGTGTTCAAATAGCGTTTGTCTTATGAAAGATCTGTGTGTGTAAAGTCTCTGCTGGCGCTTTTTGTCATATTTAACTGCTCGTATTACTGTTGTCGGCTGTCAGAGTCAGTAGTGTGGAGTGTTATATATGTGTCCATTCAGTCTGGCAGCATAAAAGGAAAGGCACGCATGTTTAATTTTTGCTTTGACAGCAGCGCAGAACGTATTTACACTGCTAGACGGTCTGTGTTTATGTATTATGAAATCTGTGGTAAAACTCTTCAAGCTCGGCTCCTCTCCACCGGTAGATAAAGTGGACATGAAGTGCAAACAGGGAGAAAACCTGCTATGTGTTTTCCTTTTCTTTGGCCCTGAACTGCCTCAGGAGATACAAAACAAGCACATCTCAAAACCGAAGCGTTGCAGTCGCTCTGAGCAAAAAGCCCACCATCGTTCATCAGTAACAGACGATCACAAAAGCTTCATGCAACACAAGAATCGGCCACATCCCGGCCCAGCTGCTCCTTCATCTCGAGCTCAAATAAGTATCGCCGTGTATCGCGGTTGGAATTTCTTCCTGCTAATTCCCTGTCATGTCGAAAGCCCTTTTATTGCGTGTTTGGAGGCGATCCCACATCAATTATTGGCTTCAAGGGAAGAGAGTCTTTTTCAGAGCTTGCATTCTGGAGGTTGTTGGTGCCAGGCGTCATCCAGAGCTTTGCTGAAATACTCATTCAGAGCTCAAACCCAGGAGATTCAAGATCCACCGCCGCCGAGCTCAGAGCTTTGAACACAGCAGCAGTAGAGCCCGGGTTCTTTGTAATGTTCCTTAATCAACTCAGACCCATTCAAGACCCATGATCTTATTTTAGGGATAGATCTTAGAAGCCAAAATGAAAACGTATTGATGCGCTTTATTTCCCTGGTGTTCTTATGAACATTTAATCAGTGCATGAGTGAAAATATTTGTCTTTATAATCAGAATCAAGTATTCAATAGAGCTGTGTAGTTAATGTAGTGATTGCAGACATGCAGTTTTATAAACATATATTTTATATACAATTTTTGTTCCAAAATAAAACTGAGATTTTTTTTTTTTTTTACATTTTTATTGTTATATATAAATGATATCAAATATATATTTAAATGCGTTTTATTTTTATTTATAATGTATATGCATAACAATACATTAGTTAAATTAGTTTTAATAATTCTTATTTGGTTCTCATTGCTTCAAAATATTGATGTATTGTTCCAAAATAAAACTGAGATTTTTTTTTTTTTTTGTCTCTTCTGCTCACCAAGGCTGCATATATTTGATCAAAAATACAATAAAAATTTTGAAATATTATTACAATTTAAAATAGCTATTCAAATAATATTTTAATATATGTTCAAATGTAATTTATTCCTGTGATCCAAGCTGAATTTTCAGCATCATTACTCCAGTCTTCAGTGTCACATGATCCTAGAAATCATTCTAATATGCTGATTTGCTGCTCAAGAAACAACTCTGATTATTATGTTGTAAGCAGTAGTGCTGCTTCATATTTTTGAAGAAAAAGTTATCTTTTCAGGAGTCTGATGAATAGAAAGTTCAAAAGAACAGCATTTATTTGAAATGTAAATATTTTATTATAAATGTCTTTACTGTCACTTTTGATCAATTTAATGCCTCCTTGCTGAATGTGTTAATTTCTTTAAAAAAAATAAAAAAATAATATATATATATATATATATATTATATATAAATGATATCAAATATATATTTAAATGCGTTTTATTTTTATTTATAATGTATATGCATAACAATACATTAGTTAAATTAGTTTTAATAATTCTTATTTGGTTCTCATTGCTTCAAAATATTGATGTATTTACTTGGCTTATCACAAACCTGTCTTTAAAAAGTCAAAAAGTCAAGTTTTAAGAAGAATACTGTTTAACACACTTACAAAACAAAACAACTCATTTGAATGTGCAATGGTTAATGGTGACTAGAAAACAATGATTATGTGTTTATTAATGTATTTACTTGATTAATGCATGGAGGTAACAGTTCATTTCTTTGATGTCGTCTGTCTGTTCATGAATTTCTGTATTTATTTGATGAAAGTGATTCCGCAGGTCTGCCCGCCTTAAAGCACAGCTAATTATGACAGTGTGTTGCTTTCAGCAGAAATAAATAGATCTTGTGGAACATGATTCAGTTCTTTGTTGTTTTTCCTTGTCATTCATGACATCCTCATATTTCTTCCTGTAATGTTTCTAGTCCTCAACTGCATTTATCCATGCTTCAAAGCACCAGAGGTTTCGTCGTCTAATGTGTTATTAAAGCCCGTATTCTTCTGATTCATCTTCATTTTTGCTTGTTGTTGATCAGCGAACATCTGTGCTTGATGGCTTTGGACATTTTTGCATCCTGTTATCATCTTTTTGTTTGAATGCCAGTATCTGCACACTAAACGTATTGTTAGAAGCACATTTAATGGGTGAGCTGATCTCTCACATCTTAACCTGTTTGTTTTGTGTTTGCAGATGATGAAGTTTGCCTGGGACAACTATAAACGTTACGCTTGGGGAAAGAATGAACTTCGACCTCTGACCAGGAATGGACACACTGGGAATATGTTTGGTGAGTGAGGTTATCATTTTACATCAACTTTTATTGTTTCCTTCAGCTTGCATTAGGTCATCTTTCATGGAAACCAAAAGCATTTCTGGCTCTGCTCACTGGACTTAATATGTTTGTTCCACCGAATGTCTAAAATTAATATGCTGTGCCATTAAATCAAATGTCAATTTTATTGAGACTGAGAGGAAATTCAGATTGCAGATTCAGTGTTTGCAGTCCTTCATGGCTCTGTGGTAAAACCTAGTGTAGACTATATGTGTGCGGAATGAGTTGCTGACTATGTAGAACTTTCCAAAGTCGCTTATATTGGGTTGCATTTCTGTTAGAATGTTGTCTTTCAGAATTCAGAATGAACTGGCACAGGATGTTGAATTAAAATTGGAATTGGAATGACAGGAAGAGGAATTTATCCACAACAATTCATTATAATTTCATTAGCCCAAGACAAGTTTTTGTGACGATGCAACCATGCCGATTTATTGTTATTGTATGCAAATTTGTATGCATATGTAAAGATTTGTATTTAGTCTTTTTGTTTATGATGTCTATGCATAATACATTGGTTTTAATAAATTAGTTAATTAGTTGAAATATTAGTTAATATTTCTAATATGGTTCTAATAAATTACTTAAAATGTATGTTTTAATTAGTTGTTTTGTTTTGATTAAATATGTCTTTAATCATCTTAAAATGAAATGTATAAAATATAATGAAATAGAAAATGTATATTTCATTTATATATTTTATTATATTTTATACATTTCATTTTGATTAAAGACAAGTTTTTGTGACAATACAACTATGGCAATATATTGTTATTGTGTCTATGCATCGCAATCAGTTTGAATAAATTAGTTAATTAGTTAAAATTAATAAATTAGTTAATATTTCTAATTTGGTTTAAATAAATTAAAATTAAGGATGTCACTGTTTGTTTTGTCACAAAAACAAAAATCACCTTAAAATAAAAATTATACATTATAATGAAACAGAATTTATATTTAATTTATATATTTCATTCAATTTAATACATTTCACTAAGATATTAAAGACAAGTTTTTGTGACAATACAACTATGCCAATTTTTTGTTATTTTATGTCATTTTATATGCATATTTTATATATATATATATATATATATATATATGCATAATGATACATTGGTTTTAATACATTATTTATAATTAATAAATAATTTAGTGACTCTAATTTGGTTCTATTTGATGTCATTTGTTTGATCAAGTTTTTAAAAAACTTGTCTTTAATTGTTTTCAAAATATATATATTAATAATAGTTAAAAAAAATAATGAAATATATACATTTTCTATGTATGTCATATCAAGCATTTATTATTAATATCATGTTATGTTTCTGGAAATAGTATTTTTGGGTGTAATTTGCAGTGAAAAAGGGAATGCATTATATGATTTTCATTCCATTTTAATTCTGCTTTCTAAAATTCAAATAATAATTCTGCCTCCTGTTTGCAACCTCAGTTATAATTTTAAAAGACATTCTGAATTCACTGTGATCTCAGACCTCCTGATCTTATAGAACAAGTGACTGTTTCTGTGGTTCCACATGATTTACCCTGTTCTCACAGTTCTGGTGGAACATGAAACCACTCTATTACTCTCTTCATAAAAAAAATCAGTCTACTTTCAATGCAGAATCCTCTCTAGTCAGAGACCTGCAGCTTTAGACCTGCTCCGGTACTGTAATAATGTGACCTGTACTGTAGAAATATCAGCACACTTGACATTTGGAATGTTGCTTTGCAATAAGAAGTGAGGAACATGGATTTCAACCGGTTATAGACAATATGAAAAGTCAGTGTGTGAATGAGGACAGTACCGTCCACTCATCTGACATCAAATTGAGCGAATGTTTTTCTTATGTGCTCTGTAGGACAGTATTTTGACCAAGAATCGACCTTAGACAGAAGGAGAATGTCTGACTGACATTTAAATTGACCAATCATAGTTGTTTTACAGTAGTTTTAGTGGCGGGATTGTCTGGAATAGCATAGCAATAGCAACCTGCTGGTAATCACCATAGACTGTATAAAAACATGGATGTAGTGTCTGTGACGTCACCCGTAGGTTTCCGAAGAGCATTTTTGAAGCTCAAAGTGGGCGGATGCAGCCGTCGCCATCTTGGCAGTGCGTCACCGTGCGTCACTCCCGGATAATCGAAAATGGGCAAAGAGGCGGGAGCTGGTTGCTGAAGCCATGCCCACCTAGCTCGACGGTGGTGACAGCAGCAGCAATCCACCTGTCACTCAAGTGGCCACGCCCTTAATTATGCAGAACTTTAAGGCTTAATATAATTTAAATGGACGAGTTATAAAAAAATTCACCCCCCTCACAGTTGTCATGAAGGGCAAAATTAGGCAAGGAAAGGCAAGTTTATTTATATAGCAAATTTCATACACAATGGTAATTCAAAGTGCTTTACATAAAAGAAAAGAAAATAATAATAAAAAAATAATCACAACAATGCAACAAGGAATTTAAAAACTTTGGAAATGATTTAAAAATTGATTTAAGAGGTTTAAAATGAATTTAAAACAGTTAAGAATAGAAAACGATTATACATAAAATAT